CCAGCACTGTGCGGGCCACGCGGAGCTGCTGCTCCAGTCTCTCCCGCGTGGCTTTGTTCCCAGTTTTTTTCAGCAAGGCCTCCATCTCCTCCACCACAGCCCGGTGACCGGCGGTGTTGTGGAAGACTCGGATGGCCCGGTCGCCGCACGACACCAGGTAGCGGCTGCTGGTGTCAAAAGCCAAGTCCGCGATGGGCTGGCCGTGCACGGCGAGGAAGCGCTCCTCCTCCTCCCCTCGCCTCGTGTTGTACACGACAATGTCCGCGCCGCTGGAGATGGCGACGACGCGAGCGTCGGGGGACAGGGCGATGCGACAAGGCTCCGTCATGTCACACTTCCCCGTCAGAAGCAGGTACGGGTCCTGCTGCTTTTTATATTCCACGTCTGTGTCCCAGAACTTCCACGTCCTGTCCTTCGAAACAGTCACCATCCTGCGGCCAGGAGACAAGAGCACTCGTAAGGGCGAGGAAGTGGGGCAGCACCTCTCCCCTCGCCACGCCTGAGGCCAAACAGGAGCCGTCTGTGGACAGAGAGCTCTTTGCTCGCACGTGCCCAGGGCACGCCCGAGCAGCGGGTAACACACACTCACCTCCTCGAGTCGTTAGAGAACGAGAAGCAACGGACGCCCGCGGTGTGGCCTTTCAACTCAAAAGCCCTGGCCACCTCTCGGAAATCTCCGTTCTTGCCAAAACACACCTCCCACACCTTCACGTCAGGGGTGAAGCCACAGGAGGCCACAAACCTGGGTGAACGAACAGAGACACGGGGGACGTTAGAGGGGATTTGCCCGACGGAGCTCTCCTCTGGCCTCCTGAGCGAGGCAGTGCCCAGGCACACTCCTGTGCTGAGGAGGGCGTGAGATGGGATCTGCGAAAGCAAAACTGTCCAGATTCCTATGTCCAAATCTTGGCTTTGGTCAGCTAAAAAAAGTTTTCACTTTTCACCGAAATGATGCTGGTAAAGGGAACGCGAAGGAAGGCCGCCAGGGATCAGAACAACTTAGGAACAAGAAATTCTTAGGCCAAAGTGAGAAAGCAAAGCGGTTTTGATCCCCAAACTCACTGAGGTTGGAGCATGACAAGCCTTCTGGCAGCAACAACTAGAGACAGAGCAAAGGTCGAGACTTTCCTGATTAACAAACAACTCGGTAATAAAATTTTTAATTTTGTAATTAACCTTTAAAAGGTCACACAAAAGTTAGAAACGCTGTTTGCTTTGCAACCTGCCGAGTGTTTGAGACTACAAAGGCAAGAGTCGGCGCTCCTGGAGGGGTTGCTCCTGGGGCCAGGATCCCTTTTTAAACTGTAGAACCCTCAGAAAATTGTATTAAAATAATAGCTAACTACCAAGGATGTCCTCTGAGGAGGAAGCGAGGTTCTTGTTCCCTCCTGCTGCCTCCTGCTCTGCCGCAGGAGCACCCTGGAATCGCTCACAACCCTCACCTCCCGCAGGGCGACACCGTAGCGTAGGCGTTGTTCATCTGGTTTGTGTTAATGCTGGCCAGGACTTCACCCTTTGGGCTCCATATCAGGATGGTCGTGTCACTGGAAGCCGTCATGATGAACTTCCCTGGAGGAAAAAAGGCAAAGTTCAGCAAAGCTCCCAGGCCTGACACTGCCAGAGACTTGCCAAAGGCAGAGGGCAGTCCCCAAGTGGGGCAACTTCTCCGTGCGCCTGGACAGTCAAAAAAAGCAGCAAAATTCAAGGAGCGTCAATCCCTTGGAGCAGAGCTAAAAATAAAACAATAAAAAAAAATTTTAAAAAAGTAACACCTAGGAGACCACAGAAAACACATTTCTACTGGTGCAGAAATGGGCCTTGAGAATGCCAAAAACTCCCAACACTTTCAGCCCGGCAGCTGTTGCTTTACAAGGAAATTAAAGCCAATCTCAAGCCCCAACAAGCGAGCAGCTCATTTCCATACCTGTCTCTGCAATTCCTATGTTAATGACAGGAGCCTTGTGCTTCTTCGGGAAGTCCCCAGAAGATGCAGCAAAGGTGAAGCTGCCATCATCCTTCTTAGTCATTTTATAGACACGAATAGTCTCGCCATTCGCCAGCCAAACAATGAATGCCCTGTGGAAGGGGAGACACTGAACCGTTAGCAGCCCAGCTACAACAGGTAAACCACAGGTCATTTAGTGGCACCTGGGGAAAAGGATACACTGGCAGATAAAAAGCTGTCTGCTTTACGAGGGCACCAAGATCCCTCCCTGTGTTAGCACAACTGCAACACTGGAAAGAGCATCATTTATTACTCCACATCTGGAAATGAGATTCCCTTCCTCTCTCGAAAAGGCGCCACGTCACGAAGTGCCAAAGCACAGTTTTCCGCCGACCTTCCCAGCCAGCAAGAACTCTCTCTCCAGCTCCTCGGAAAGGTTCGGTAGCTGCGGAACCTCCTGACAACACTCTTAGCAAGCAACATCCACGGGCAGAGCAAGCTAGGCACTGGCATATTCGCCCCAAGAACCACGTTAAAGCGCCAGCTGCTTTCCTGAGTTAAGACCCCGGGAGGGATGTCACCCCCGTGCAGCCAGAGGACACATCACCGACGCCAACCAAGCCCTGGGCCGTGTGACCGGCACCTCTGCCCGCAGGACGTCGCGGTGCCCACACACGCCGGGTGGCCTCTGGGCG